CATCATCATCATCATCATCATCATCTTCGTCTTCTTCTTCTTCTTCTTCTTCTTCTTCCTCTTCCCAGTATCCTTTACGAATAAACGTAGATGGATTACCGTTATTCGAGCTAATTATGACTACACTGTCGGTTAGCATGAACATATAACTTCAATGGAAATAATATACAAATATCATTTCTATTTCTCTATTCTCGACTATACAAATTCGTCTAAACAATGTTTCAATTTTTTAACAATAACGTCCACAAAATATTCTCATTAAATGATCAAATACTTAACGCTTTTCTTATTATACTTTTATCTTCTAGGAAAAAATGGTAAAAAGAAAGAACAAAATTTCTAAATACAATTTCTTTCTTCGTTCAAACAAGAAAAACACAAAACAAAAAAAAAATAATTCTTTTAACAAAATATTTCACCAATTAACCTTACCAAGAGATATATTGTATTATTAAATAAATGGTGAATAGATACATCCAAACACTTTTATTAAACTTATCTTAAGAAAATGAAGGGAAATAAGACGACAACGACGATTACGAATAGATCCGAGATAACCTTTGATCCTCACATGGTGAATGTTACGGGTTACATCGATCGGTTTGGAATTTTTATTTTCTTACTCAGTTTGACTGTAGTATATGTGATAAGCTCAATTATTTATCGTCTTTGTGATATAATATTGTCAATAATGAGAAGAGAATGACGAAAGGAAAAAAAAAAAGGAAAGACGAGGAAAGAAAAAGTTTAAACAGGATAAGAAGAAGCTCATAGGAAATAATTTTACAAATATATCTTACAAATATATACGCGATAGAGAGTTACAAGGTTTCATTCCAGATCTCGCATATGCTTAGAGGGGTGGAAGGAGAGGAGGAGAGGGGTATATAATTAAGAAACATTAAAAGTTTACAACCAGTCGGTTGTAAGTTGCACAGAGCTGTAAATGTAATTACCGGCTGAACCTAACCGAGCTGTTCGTGCTCGCACAATCGCTCTATCTATCTTTATCTCTTTCTTTTTCTCTCTATGTCTCTCTCTCTCTCACACACACACATTTTTTTTCTCTCTTTCTCTCTTCCATTCTTCCTCTCCTTTTCTAAGGTATTAACGATAAATATCCAACAGAGCTTGTCGCAGCGTATTACGTTTTCTATCTGTAATGTAAATTACCCGCAGATAGTGGAACAAAACGCGTGATCTACTTCGTGTGCAGACGTTGTTAAAATGTATTTAAGTATCGTATGTATGTATGTATGTAAGTACATACATTAGGGTGGTCATTACTCTCAATCTAATTGAATACAACCCCCGCAGTTCGCGACATGTAATAAATACAAATTTGGAATAATAAAATGTGTCAGGGTATTATTTTATATATGAAATTGCGAATATTTTTCTTCTTTTTTTTTGTTTTGATTATTTTGGAAGATTGGAAGAAGTATAATTCGACAGGAAAAAAAAGTAATACGATTAAATGTGATTTTGTCGATAAGAGTAAATTTGTTTTCTTTTTTTTTTTTCGTATTCGTTGCTAATTTCGAGAAAATAACTTATTTAAAAATCTATGCATAATTTAAATATAAAAAAAAAGAGTATTTGATCCTGATCCACGTCATAATATCAATATACAATACCTATATACAAAAACCAATATACTAATATACAAAACTAACCAGTATAGAAAAACCTATATGAACGGTAAACGAGATTTCGCGTTTCTAACGTATAAAAAAAAGTATAGAAAAATAATTCGATTATTCTTATAAAAAAAAAAAATAATATATACAACAAGATATAATTTGTACTTATACGAAAAAAAAAAAAAAAAAACAAAAAAAATCGAACAAATTGTTATATTTTTCACGATGAAATTATAGAAAAAGTTATGAAAAAGAATATTAAACAAAGGATGTGGAGCAAACGAGCCCCGCCGCCGAGTATAAAGGAAAAACTCGCGTGGTGCTTTGATAGGACGAGCCGCGTCGAAAGAAAGTGACCGACGAGCATATAATATCTGCTACCGTGCACAAAAAGCGGTTGCCGACAGGTTTTCGAAGCCAGTAGCCAGAGTGCTCTCGCTCGATGAGACGTACAATGAGAAACGACATGGTGGGACCACCTCTCACCAAGAGATTAATAACGTTCCGAGTAACGTCCTCGGGTTTGCTCGACATTTTCGTGAAACCTTCAAAAGTCAATAGAAAAAAAAAAGAAAAGAAAAAAAAAAAACAGAAAAGAAAAAAAACCAGTATCAACGAAAAAAAAATTTTATATATATTATAACAAAAAAAAAAATGAGCTGCGCGAAGCCGCAAACAGAAGGCGACCAACAAAAACAAACAAAAAAACATGCCGCAAAAAGTTGTCGAAAATTATTTTCGATCCATATTTTTTTTTGTTTTTGCTTTTTTTTTTTTTTCTTCTTCACATTACATTTCTTCTCACTTCTCTCATAATTTTATAAATAAAATTCGATTAACCATCTTACTTGTTCTTTTATCATTTATGTAGAAAATGGCGTCGTCAACCGGTACTGATCGATCATAAAAAAATGGTAAATTAGAGAAAGAGAGAGAGAGAGAGAGAAAGTAAGAGAGAGACAGGTGCGCCCCGGTGTGCCTTCTACTTTTTCCTCTGACATCCTTTTTATTTATTTTTTTTTTTTTTTTTTTTTTATATAAAAAAGCTTGGTGTCCTTTCAAGAGATCGTGGACGCTGAAAAATGTGCAACGATAATGAAGATAATGTACAATATGCTACGAGGAGATGAGAGAGAACCGCTATTCGTCATATCTCAACGCCTACACGTAAAATACGTGGATATAAATATATATATATATATATTTATAAGTATATATAAGTACGCGTTTGAAGGATACTAATGTGTAAAAGAAACGATAGAATTTTGATTGTTCGTTAATAAATAAGAATAAAAAGGTAGACAAATTCCGTGATTCTAAACGAAGAGACAACAAAAGAAGTGATTTCAAAGAATTGACATTGTATGTACTAGAATAATAAATATATGTACCTATACTGAACGGTACTATTATACATGCAACTTTGGAGACTTCAATGCTCGAAGTTTAAAATAAGAAAGACTTCTTTATGTATTCCTGAACGAATCCTTGGTATTTCGGTCTAAACATTCGAGCCAATTTGAAATCTGGATTGCGTCAAAGGAAACACTTGTACTTACTTGTTGTTACATACACATCTATATATATATATTACTTTACGTTCCTTTACGTCTTTATTGGTACTCTCTGCTCGTACTTGTTTTAGAAATGTCTTGCAAAAAACCGTATAGGTGCAACCTGTCCGCGTATGTGAGTATAAGTAAGTATATACGTATGTGTGCTCACTTGTAAAGCTGTCTAACATTTCATGGGAAATTGCAGCCCTGGTTGCAAACGACGGTAAGAAGGATGTAGACGTTTAACGTGCTCCACGACTGTTAATTATGACGTAGAAATTTTCGGTATTACGAAAGTCGTATTCTTCCATGAATAGAACTAGATAAATATATATATATATATAGATAATAAATAAATATATAGATATATACTAGATAAATATATGTATATATAATATATAAATAGGACAGTATCGGACGTTTCGATTTTCTACAATCGTTCTTGAGTACCGTACTACTCGTTATGGAAAAAAAAAAAAATAGAAAAAAAAGAAATAAAAGAAGAAAAAAAAAAGTAGGAAGGAAAGTGAAAGTATCGGGAGGAGGAAACCTTAACAATATTTCCACGTTTACCGAGATTGTCAAGGTTGCCAGATCGTTTGATTCTACCGTTAGAATAATTTCACGTACCAGCATGACTCTTGAACCAACGGGAAAAAATGAATCATAGAAATCTTTAATAATAATAAACATGTTCCTTCTTTTCATGATTATAAATCGAAGAAAATCGAGAATAATAACAAGTGACTAACACGTTGAATAATCCGATAGAGGAAATAAATATCCCGTAAAATTACTTAGTGTTACGAGATCTAAAAAAAAAAAAAAAAAAAAAAAAAAAAAGAAAATAGAAAGAAAAAACACCGTTACAAACAACGTCAATCTTCAAAGTTAAATACTGCGTGGGCCACCGGTGACCCAAATCGAATTTTTGCAAGCTGATGAAATAAAACATTATCACTTATATTCTTAATTGTGTAAAATAACATTATAGCTGATTAATTATTGTTAAATAAATAAATGTACAATCTGCTTCTTTCCCTATAGAATAATTTCAGATTAGTTCTTTATTTTTTTTCCAAAAAGAAGAAGTATGATCACCAAATCCATGGGCCACGCCATCTAAATGAAAATTTATGTGAAAAAAAATAGCATTCAACGTGTTAAGGAAGTACTGTAGATCTCTCACGGATCTCCAGTTTGCTCATCTTTCTCTGGGATCGAGGCCTACGTCAAGGACTCTTTGTACAGGACATGCTCATTCTTTGTTCATATTTCTTATCTGTGTGTACTTCTATTTCTTTTTATTTCTTCTACTCTATTCTAAGTGTTAGTAAACATGATGCAATCGAAGATGCCAACGATTGCAAAGAGGTTCTTACCTGGATCGTAGCATAGCGGATGCTACCTGCTAACATTCAGCAAAGATCTCACTTGCGCATCCTTGTGATGTCTTCGGGTATTCGATGACGTCAGCCAAATCGGTAAATGCAAAGGATTTCCTTTGATTCTATTGTTAGCTAAGTTCAGCATTAAACTTGCAAATGTTTTCTGTATCGATTCGTTTTCTGCCGACAGTCGATAATAACGTAAACTTCTTTATCTAACTATGACAAAATGACATCTAAAGTTAACATTTATCTGTATAACTTCATTTTATCTTATCTGGGTATTTACATATTGGTATATTGTACAATTATTCACTCCTAAGATAATGTATTTAAATAGATCATAAATATAAATATATATTTTATTTGTATAATAAATAGTATAATATATTATTTATTATTATTATATATAAATTTAAATAATTATTAAACTTGTCTTTCTCTTACTCTTATTTTTGACGAGTTTGAAAGATTCATTTTCTTAACAATGATTTCACACGTCTCACCATTGTAAACGAAGCATTAATATTAATATACTTAATGTAAGCATACTATAATTAATATAACTATTGCTACTAACCCAATTATTATAAAAATATTATTACCTATGTGTCAGACTAACATCTTTGTGAAAATAACTAATAACCAACTAATATTATCTACTTAAAAGAATTATAAGAATATTTTTTGTTTTGTCATATATTAATTATAGCAAACATTATAAAATATTATCGGTAATACTATTCTTATTTCTCTTCGATGGTATAACAATCGGAACGATGTTCATATTACTGATTTTATTTCTTTTACCACGTTTACTTTTACTACTATTACCTGATTGAAAACTAGACTTACCAAGTTCGTTGTCAGTTTCTTCTTTTAAGATAGTTATATTGCATCCAGAACTTTGAGGAATATCAGAAATACTTTGACGCTCTTGTTTTATTGGATTTTTTAATCCAACAGAACTAAAAATAGAAAAACTTAACTTAACTTATAACTCATTCATATAGAATTAATATATATTGAAAAGTATTAGAAGAATACTTACTTTCCTTCTATTTTTACATCATTTTTAAAAATAGTCTTATTATAAAACTCAATCACTTTTTGAAATGGATCTGCATAGTTACTTTCATCAATTTTAATTGAATGTGTATTAAGTTGATTTTCATTGAAAACTTCAGTCTCAATATTTTCTATTGAAAGAAAAGTATTTCAATTGTTATGAAATATCATCAATAAGAAGAATTCATTCTCATATTTATATTTCACAACGTACTTCTTATTAATTCTGCTCCTTCTGCTTTATACTCCGCTATTTCTTGATCTTTCTTTTTAATCAAATCTAATAATATATTCTGTCTACGAATAAGTTCTACAGAAGATAAACATAATGGTCTTGTAATATTATCCCAATACTCTTCCGTAGTTCCTTTGGATAGATTTATTTCAAATTTGAATCCACCACCTTCAAAGTTTTTTAATAACTTTATATGATCTTTGGATGGCTTATCGACATATTTGGGAATATTGGTCAACGTGTCTAACACAACTTCCATGAGTTCGCTGTCATCGATAATCAACATAGAATTTAATTCCTGAAAATAATCATGTAATAGTTAATATTCTATTAATATCTTACATTTGTTTAAAGTATTCCCAATATACCTTAGATCTGTTCAAAATCTTCTCATCGGTCAAACATTCCGACCATATTTCTTTAAAATTAGAAAGTAAAATTTTCCACGCGTTGTGTTCTTTAGTAACACAAATAATAAAAGATTCATTATCAATAATAATCTCTTTCCAAACTTTACCTAAATCGTTTTGATTTAGTAAATTTACAGCCATCTCTTATAAAATATATAATATGTCACATTAAAACAAGCTCTGTTCAACATAACCTAACTTTTATTTGTACATTTGTAAATGAACGTTTGAAATCACTTCATAAAGGATTATATAAATTGGATATATAACATTATTTATTAAATTTATACTTAATTAACAATAATTTAAACAAAATTAAAAATCAAATAAAACTCACATGCGATTTAAGTGTAAAAAGTTTCTTATGTTGCTGTCTGATGTGGATACTGATCGAGTGTTTTCGAAACATGCGTAAGAGTGGGGAAAATTGCAGTGAGAAATAGTGTGAAAAATTCATATTCGATCTAAACTTGATTAACAATAAACAAATTATATGAACTTTTTATTCGTCTTCTTAACGTTTATACATATAGGTACACAGATAAACACCATACACGTATAATATCCTATTAAGCGTATAGAAAATAAAGAACGATCGATTCCCCCCCTCCACCCACACTCAAATAATGCAGTCTCCTGAAAACCTTTCACTTTTCAATTTATTTGAAAATTTCTGATCCCTCTTAAGAGAAGTTTCATTACAAAAAAATTCTAGTTAGAATTATATTTATTATAATAAATAAACTTGTCATAATATTATTGGCTATGTGATCGCATTCTTGCAATTTGTTGCACTATCATCTAAACAAGTGCTCATGTTATCTTATTTTCAGATAAAAATAAAAAGATGAACTTTGGAATTCATTGAATATAGGAATATCAAACGCGTATATTCTAATTATGAATAATAAAAAGTTTAAAAACATATTTCAAGGCCATATATATATATATATATATATAAAATATCGATTATATCAGTAATTTAAATTACTAAAATTATAATTTAGAAATTAACTTTGTTCACGTTTTAAAATTCGTATGTTAACCGTATGAAAATTAGTATCCTGTACAAATCCATTGACTAAAGTTTTCTTAGAATCATCATTGAAGTTTTCTTCTAATTCAGGACGATAATTTCTACGATTTTTTCGTCTAAGTTTTTCATTGATCTATTTTAAACAGAAGGAACATTTTTATTAATTATCAATCTCGCGTAATTTCGTTATTGATTATATTTTAATTGAAAATACAACCGTGTGTTTGGAAATTTTTGGTGCAGATTTATTTTTTCTCATCTTCGTTCTCGATATTTTTTTCCAATTTGTCAAAGTAATCGATTCGCGTTTATGAATATTTTCATCATTATTTTGAATTGAATCGAATTTTCGACATAATTTTCTTTTCGTTTCCTTATCAATTAATTTATAAGTTTTTCCTTGACTATTATCATTATTATTCGTCATTAAATAATTGTAAACGACTGACGAATTATCAGAATTCGAAGAACTTTTGATTTCATAATTACGTGCTTCGTTTGAGAATAATTTTCGTTGATTTTTCTCATTCATCGTAAATCGATTGATTGATTTGAATTCCTTACGTTTATCTATCTCGATATATCTAATATTTTTTATCAAGAAAATATAAAATATCTAAAATAAAATGAAAAAAAAAAAAAATGGATTATAATTAAGGATATCTAACCGGAAGGAGCATCCTTTCGATACAAGCATCGAATTTCAGCATCACTTTTCAATCTCAATTTGACACAATCATCGTTAATTTTCTTCTCAGTTACAATTTTCTGTTCTTGTGTTTTTGTCTAAATGAATGTAAAATAATTAATATAATTGTCGAAGTGTGTGACTCAATTAACTTACAATTTTATTTTCTACTTGTTCTTTTTTCTTTCGATCTCTCAGTATCAAATTACGTATAATATCGTTCGTGTAAGAACTAATTTTCTTCGTGATTTCTGTTAAATCATTGTATTCCGTTTTCAAACGTTTTACGAGATAACTTTCGACGATTGAATCTTTAGAAAAATTAGGAGAAGATATTTTCTCGTTTAACAATGTACACGATATTCCAATATCTTTTACTAGTACAGCATCCTGAGAACGTCCACCATTTCTATAACTTCTATTAAAGTTTTAAAAAACAAATTATATTTTTTGAAATGATTAATTAAACTTTTTAAAAATATTCACCTGTAGTATGGGAAACCATAACTTTCTAGGGGAAGACTAGTAGCAGAAGAAACGATATCGCTATTATTTGATTTACGAAATTCGTTAGTGAAAATCGAGCCGGAAGTGAAATCGGACGAAAGATTTGGGTTCGTTGCTTTTTGTGTGGTATCACTTTTGTTATTTTTTTTCTTCTTCATTCGATGATCTTTTCTTGAAGGCATAAGGAAGTTCGACGTGTCTCCAGATTCCATTTCGTTCTTGATCGTTCCCATCTTTAAAATGATATTTGGATATTACTTACTTGTATACGTGTTTTTTTCTATGCGGGCATCGAAATCACCGGTATTCACGTTATCAACGAGTGCGTATATTTTAATTTTTTAATATATCTAAAAACCGGCATATAAAATTTATTTATTCTTTTATATATCCTTTTATAATTATTATTATTATTGTCGATATCTAAATGATATTATAAAATATTGATTAATTAATTAATTACAGATATACAGAATCCTCGTTCACCCATTAATGAAAAGCACAAACGATTATAATATTCGAATCTTGGACGTGATTCGTAGACAGCCATTACAAACAAACAGACAAATCGAAATCACAAGAAATTGAACGTTCAATTTGGAGAGTCACCGACAACCAAAGGAGGTTACAACATTTCGACATGCTATACACGAGAAATCAATTGAAAGACGTTTCGAAAAAAACTATCGATTTAATGTAAGCACATTTTATCGAAAATTACAACAACATCTAATTGCACTAATCGATTATACACTTAATGTTTTTACAAAATAATATAAAATAATAAATAAATCATTTATTTTTCCATATATAAAGTTACAATAATTCATTCAAATAAATTTAAATTTCTTTACTTTTATTTTCATTCATTTTGAATCCACAATTTTTTGATCTTCATTTCAAGTAAGGATGATATTCTTAAATCCCACAATACCACAGCTACCTGTCCGCATTCGTGGTTCTTACTACCACTACGTCACCAAGGTATAGTCTTTCCATATATTCTCTTATTTCCGATGATCTCTTTAATAAAAGAAACGAACAAATCGAGTGCTACTGGAATAGATATCATAGCATCTTTTCAAATATATGTATCCTATTCTGTACATTGATAATTAAACATTTAAACATTAATTAAATAGTAATTAACAATTCAGAGATCAATGGAAGAAGAAAGTAGAAAGAACCTTGTCCTCAGATGTAAGATTTATGTACTCGCGAAGTATGAAAGCAGGTATCACCATAGGCGTCTCGACGTATTTTTCTTAAAACTATTATAAAAATTTATTCATTAAATACTTTAATTAACAACTTTATATTTATCCAAACAATTCTCTTAACACATTTATATTTTACTAATAAATTGAATAAAGATTTCAAACTAAAGTGAAAACCATAAAATAATCTTAATCATTTATTAAAATTTTAATCATGCAATATAATCATTTGTATAATTTCCATACATGAATCTATTATCCTACTTTTAAGTATCAATATATTTTTCCTAAAATCATAATAAATTTATCTAATAACCAATTAATATTTATTAATTTTACATTAATCCAAACAATACTATTAAAACTGTAATATTTCACAAAACATAATCTCAGATATCATTTATATAAAAACAATATATATATATACATAAAATTAGATATAAAAATAGTAGATTAATATAAAAACAATGAATAAATAATTCAATTAATTTGTCAACGTTCTAATAAAAATCAATTCCTAAACAATGTTATAGAGAAATTTTGCACCTTTTTACTCTAATTGTAATAACAATAATTATTATTTTATTTTTCTTCGAAAAGGAAAGAAAAATTATAAATTGAAGGAAAAACGAATAAATGTTTGACGCCAATGCTTAGAGAGGAGACACACAAGAAGAGAGAGAAAGAAGACTCTTTCTACGCTTTCCATCGTCCATCCTTTCCTTTCTCGAAGCATGATCATAATAATGGCGGCGCTGGCAGTCACCTTGGCTGGGCATGAACAAGAAGGTGCTCACAGTCGGCTTCTCGATTGCGAGCCGTCTCGTTATACGTTTACGTGGCCGTGATTCAAAAAATCAACTAGGACATATACATTTATATTTAAAATAATCAATTTAATGATACATTCTATCAATAAAATAATGTGATCGAATTTATGTCCAACGAAAATACGAAAAAAACGGAAATAATAACGAAACCGAATATCAAAGTTGAGTAAACTTTGATCGATATCTGTTCATCATCATCATCATCATCATCATCATAATATCGGCAAAGTGAGAAAGAAAATGAGAGGAAGAGAGGAAGGATTAAGGAAATAAATAAAAGTAAGGATATGATTTTAAAAGTGATTCATTGTTCGATGACAAGGATGATCCAACGAGATCGATTAAAATCAAAGAAAATCTACGATCCAACGTATCAACGATTTGTCATCATCGATTTGTCGTATATCAAAAATTAGTCAAATTAAAAAGATAGTGGTGTTTTTAAGTGTGTATGTGGGTTTACGCAGCTCTCTTATTGATATTCGAATTAAGAGAAAGTTGACGACTCTGTTTTACTTACGGATTGAGTGATATTTTTATTGTTGTTGTTGTTTTCATTTCCTTCCACTGGAATTATAAATATATATATATATATTTTTTTCTCTTTTTTTGCACGAACAATTTTGTATTCATATATTTTTGGCGAGAATGGATGAAGGCGGGAGAGAAAGATTTTGTTTAAAAATTAGTAAGAAAAGTGAAGTGAAGTGTTTATTTCTTCGATGAACGTCGTCGAAGAAAAGGATCATCAATATAAAAAGGTCTCGTTTGTCTAACTTGACCGATATTGGATTTAATCGTACGATTGGAAGTGACATTGAATCGTTTGAATCGTTTTAAACCAATGTAGCGAGATGTTCAAACGGTGGAACATCATCGTTATGGCTGTTGGCCTCATAATAAGTGTTGGTGAGTATTCGATTTTTCGTTTTAATGACGCAAGAGAGATAGGAAATTACATCTAGCAAATTTTGAAAAGATTCTATTCGGTGAATTATATTTTTAATTTCTTAATCTCTTCTGAGAAAATAATTATATAAGAAAATTATCTTTTAACCGATTACAACAACAAAATATTACACTGACGTAACTATTCTCGTCGACATTATCATTCTGATAAATGGAATAAAAATTAAGAAATAAAAGAGACATTACGTTCTAAAAATAATTTCTTCTAATCTCTTTCACATTGCTATGGAAATTTTCACGTTGCTTAAAACACATTTGTAAAAAAAAAACGATGATTCAAATTTACAATAAAAAATATTACCAATTCTTATTCGCGCGTTAAAATATAATTCATTTTTTTCTTTTGTTTTTTATATATAAATAAAATATATTTCACATACAAATGTACGCACTATGAATTTCTTTTACTTTTTTTCTTTCCTATGTTCAAATATTGTTATATTAAAAAAAAAAAATATGAAAAATTATATTCCATTTAATAATGTCGATGAAAAAAAAAAGAAAAAACAACAACCTTTTTTGCGTGAATAACAAATTAGAAATTAAAAACAAATATAATGGAACAAAGGAGTATTGTATAGTTGCGACACGATTACGAGAATAGTTGTTTCAGCGTTGGCTGAGAATGCAAAAGAAGGTGAGTGTCTTCGTTAAGGCCCAATGTATAAAATATTCTTCGAAGTAAGAATATGCATGCTTCGAATGCTCCTCGTACGTTTCGTCGCATAGGATTCCTCCAAGTCTTTCTCTTTTTTCGCGGAATTTCCAGGTCGAGAAAGAGAGAGAAAAAGAAAGATATACATATACAGAAAGAGAGAGAGAGAGAGAAGGAGAGGATAAGAAAAAAAGAGAGAAAGAAACACGTCAATCCTTTCCACATACGTAGCCACGTCTAAGAAAAATGTACCGTTAAATAAATCGCGAGCTTGCACATTATATTACATTACATACATACATATGTGTTGCATTCATCGATCATTCTCTAATTTTTCTAATAATTATTATTATTATTATTGTTATGATTCAAGGTTTTTCATTTTAATTATATAGATTACAAGTAATATATTGATGTTTTATATATATATAAATAAATGTAATTTAAAATAATCCTTTTCGAAATTAGGTTGTGAGAATAACGACAAAAAAAAGAAAAAGAAAAAAAAACAAAAAATGTGTTTAATTATTAATTATAATAATCTTTTTCTTTTCTATACGCGAAATTTTGTATTCTCTAACAAGAATATATGAAATATATTTTATTAATTATATTCTTATAAAAAGAAACATATGTGATTTCTTGTATTTAAAAATGAAAAATAAATAGGACAAATATATATATATATATATTAGAAGTAAACGTATAACGAGTAAAAAAGAAATATAAAATATTTATATTAATCGTTTTTTCGATTTAGTATAAATTCTTATTAGTTAGATCACATAGTAAGTATTGAACGATTTCTAAACGTTGATAATAGGATAGAAAGGTGAAGCAAGGATAGGATTGGTTGAAACTAAGGGATAGAGGACCGGTTCTGTTTAAAATTCGAACGACGCGTCGTTCAGACTTCCGTCTAAGGAGGCACCGACGTTGCGTCAGACATACTTGTGCTAAATTACGTCATTGCAAACCTTTACACCTCTCTTCGAATCATCAAGTATATTCCCTTTTTTAAAATCTTTCGTTATAAAATCATCTTTTAACATCGTCATTTCCAAATAAGATATCCAATTTTTTTCTTCTTCTTCTATTTAGGCTCAATTAAAATCGTTCAACTTTGGGAAATCATGTTTTTTTTTTTTTTCTTTTTGGATAAACGTTTGATTATCCATTTCCTTGACAGTTGTTAGAAACATCGTTAATGACTTATTCGTTAAAGAGCTGAACCGTGTCAATCGTAGTAGTACCGTTCACGACCGTTGCACGTTTTAATTGGAAGGTTTTTTTTTAAGGAAGCAGAAAGCTTCGATAAAATCAATTGTGTAATATCTTTTCTAATTTGTTGTTTCTCCAAATACTTTCATCCTTTCATATGTGTGTGTGATCATCCATCGGTTCATTTTTTAATACAACATTTTATTATATTTAATGGAAAAAAATGCTCATATTCTCGGTTGGATTTATATTTTGTTAGTTTTGTTGGTTGGAAAACATAAAAAAAAAAGTGTTCTTTGAAAGAAGGATAACAGAATAAGCAAAGGTTTATCCTTCGAGGTCGCAATTAAAGTAGCAGAAGTAACGAGATCGGAAACTGGCCAGACGAATTAACGTTGAAACCAGCCGCATAACCGGGTCGCCAGACACCGAGCAAGAACCCCATACCTTACCTCCAAGCGATATCAAGGCTCAAGAACGAACTCTGAGAATGTACGACGACCTATATGGCATTTATAATAGTTATGCTTTTCTTATATCAGTTTATAAAAAGCAACTACATTTCATTATTTTTCTACACAAATCTAGCACAAATATATATATTTGTTTTTTTCTCTCTTGTAAATATATAGATACATAAATTTATAATACGGTTATAAACAATTTATAGATCTAAAAGTATAAATAATAAATGTTAACGACGTTTGTGTGAGAAAGATAAATATATAAATATTTTCTAAAGAAAGTTTCTTTCTATTTTTTCGTATATCGATGATCAATAAAAAGCTTTAAGAAAATAAACGGACCTGTATACATTTTATAATTATAATAATTTGTTCTTCAATTAGTAAATATATAAATAAAAATTAATATAAATCATTTGTATATATATATATATATATATATATATTTCTCTTTCTATATTGTAATTATGTAGATACATAAATTTCTATTATAAAAATAAAAGTTACGGAGAAAAATTTAGAAAAAAAAAAACAAAATATACATATATATATTTTTCTTCTAAGTATTCGAATTTATAATTTAATTTTCCATTTCGATACATATCTCAATCTTAAAAGAATTTTCGAGTCCAACGCATGAAAGTGAAGCGTCACGGTAAGGAATATTTAAGGTCCGACGGTGACCTCACCAAAGTGAAAGTTCTTTCCTTCGTTTCTCTGTAGCCATACAACGAGAGAGCAAAGCTAAAGTTAAAGAAAAAGAAACAAAACATCGACCTCTTTCGAGAATCGTTAAATTCGAGCTCCGATATTCCTGGAAGTGCTTCCATCTTTTTTTTCCTTCAACATCCTACACACATATATATATATATGTATACATACATGGGTATACGCTTAGGAAAGTGAATTGTTTTTAAATCTATTAATTTACTAAAAAATAAATAATATATGCTAAGGACTATTATTAATTATTTCAAATATTATATCTCGTAAACCAATTAATTAAATTTCATATTTTTAAACGTAGTTTATATAACATAGATATTTATTATCTTTAAAATGATATTTCACAAGATACAAAAGAAGGGGGTGGAAAGAAATGGTGTATTAAAATTTTCAAGTAATAACAGGTGGGACAAAATAAATGCAACTTTAAATTTTACATTTCATCTTCGATATATAAATTAACATATTATTTTCTTTTTTAAAATAAAAATCATTTCAGGGGTGACAAATATTAAAAAAGGAAGACACCACGTATATATATGTTTTTGTTATTATTATAAACATTCTACTTATATAATTATCGTATACGTGTAAACACTTTTATTTATAAATAAAACGTATGATAATAATATAATAAGAAAATTATTAATGAATATAAAACACAAAAAGAGGATGTTCCTTTCTCTTTCGAATTTTTTCGTTTGATTTTTTTTTTTTATCTCTATCTTCGATTGGAGAGTCGAAGAGAAAAGAGAGCTCGGATTCTTAAAGGAAAGGCCTGCACCTTCTCGAATCGAAATCTCCATGGTAGCAAAGACAGAAATCGAGTAGTTCACTTTCAAATCCTGTTACGTCTTGCGTTACTTACGAAGCCAATGCACAACCACCATTCTCTTCGAGTCCTTCGAACGAAAACCGCACCTGTCTTTCGAATGAACGAACGAATGCACCAACGAAGCCTTAATCGAATATACACGCAACATCTTTGCTAGATTTTAATCTGTCCTTTTATTTATTTTCTTGTTTTTTTTTTTTTCTAATAAGAAAATATAGAATTTTTTAATCTTTTTCAATATCACGAACCCCGTATCATCGATGTTTAAAACAATTATTCGATACGGTTAATGCTTTTGAGATACGTTGAAAGCGAATCGAATATTTTAATCAATGATCGAACATTGTTATTTGTTCAAGTATCAAATTATATTTCGATACCTTTTCTTTTTCCGCAATAATTCTTATATTTTATTTCACGTAACGTGATTTAAACAGTGAAATTTTAAATGAATTATTTTGAGTAAATTATTTTTTTCTTTACTTTTTTGTTTTTGTATTTTTAATTTTCGATAATGATTTATTATTGATTTTGTTTGATATTGTAAATAAATTTCAACGAATTTCATTAGGGTACACCACTTTTTAAAATACTCAAGTTTTACGGCGAGATCATTGATTGTTTTTTTTTTTCAATTAATAGAACACATGACCAAATCATATTTATTTAATAACATTTCTTATAGTTCGACAATGATTTATTATCGATAATTTATAAAAAAAACTCTTACGCCTTTTTTTGCTTTGAAAACGTTAAAATCTAATCTCGAATATCATTCATTTATTATTATTTTTCAAATAACACGTTATAATAAAATACGTCAATTTGTTTTTTTTTTAATTATTATTTAAATCGAATATTATTTATTGATTGAATTTCAACTACTATTTCGTATACTTTCTTTTAATTTATATTAACGTGTTAGGATAAACAATCGAATAAATTACTTTACAAATGATTTCATATGTTTTCCTAGTGATTCGATAAAAAGTGAACACAGCACACGTGCCGATTCGATTTAATTTTATATTATCTGTTCTCTTTGGTCCATCATCATTTCCTGTGGCCTTGCAAGAGATTTTGTCATTTTCGATTCAACGAAGCTCTCGCTTCGTGAAAACCGGTTTTAAGTCTTGTATCTTAAACATAAATCAAACTAGCCAACAGCGGATGAACTGACTTTCTAGCTATTAGTGGCAGCTGCTGCTTACCTTCTGGCTAGATCTTTACAAACAACAACCTCCTATACACTCTCTTCCTAAACATAAACCTAAAAGAGATTATTTTTCCTAATTGAATAACTAACAAAATTTGTGTTTAAGAAATGTATCAAAACAAAAAAAAAGAAGAACAATCAAAGAAATCGATCAAATACGTTAATTAAAATGCTTATATTACTCTTGACAAAATTTATATTTATTTATTAAATAATAAATAATTAACCTAACCCTTGTCGATAAACAAAACAAACAAAATATATACTTTGCGATTAGTAGAATTAATAAACTACAAATTAATATTTTAATAAAATTTATTATTATTATTATTAAATAAATATTTAATTATACTATTTAAAAAAAGAAAGAAAAAAATATATTATATAAAACAGTACCCACCAAAGAAATACCACAAATCTACCGTGCGAATAAAAGAGATGAATATATACAAGAAGCAGCAGACGTGAAGCACAGACGAGCCAACAGAAAAGAAAAAAAAGAAAGAAAAAAAAGCATATAAGCTCTCGTAGTGTCAGTTGAGCCGTTCGGTCGCACTTTCATCGTCCCACTTTCTCTCCATGCTGTTCTTCCAAACGCATTGGTGTTAACCGACGCACGAACATAACCGTATGCTTTTACATATTCTTCTTATTCTTATTTTTCCATTTTCAAAAGAGAACGAATAAATAAAAAAACGAAAGAACGAATAAAACGATCGACCTTGCCATCATTTTCTTTCTCTCTCATTCTCATATCATCATAATAATATAATAATAATAATAATAATAAATACCTAATTGAAACTTTATAT